CAGCGAAAATGGAAAAATATATACTGTATATATACAGTCAGTTTTGCAGTGGCAAAGCCCCTGAAGTGGTGAGTAAATAACTGTACTGTTATACAGGACGAGTTCAGGAGCTGTCATGCTGTGCCGTAATTACTTTTACTGCTTCTTCTTTCTCTTTCATGAGACGCACAGAATTTTCTGGCACATTTCACATTTTACCTCTTATTAAGAGCACACAATGTGAGCTTAGGGAAAGCATCAGTGTGCTAAAAACCTCCCCTGTTCATTAATTTTCTAAAACAGTCGCAAGCACACAAGCATCTCAATATTTATATTTAGACTTAATTTGCAGTGAAAATGCATCCTAAATCATGTTTTTCTAAACAAATATGTGTAATTTAATTCATTTTCTCTTACCACTTTTGCATTTTGGGTTTTTTATTTTCATTTTAATAATACACTTGTTTTGGTTTCCAGTAGAAGCTTAAATAAAACACCATATTGAATGCAACTGTAAAATATTCTAATTTTCATCCTGAGTTACTTATTACATTTATTGTTATATTAATAAATGTAATAAATATCTGGTTTTCAGTAAAAATAGTCACTAAATTAAAGGGGTAGTTCACTCAAAAAGGGAAACTTAGTCAATATGTGTTCACCCTCAAGTGGCCATAAACCTTTATTCTTCTTTGAACTCAAAGGAAGATTTTTTGAAGAAAGTTGAAAACTTGTAACCACTGAAATGCAAAGGCCCTATTATACACCCAGCGCAATGAGTGTTTCCATGACGTTTCAACTCAACACAACCCTAATTTTCCATTTTTCCTCCACGTTGTTTAAATAGCAAATCTACAACCCCATTTGCACCACTTTGTTGACTCATGGGTGTTCTGGTCTGGAAAAAAGGTGTGTTAAGGCGCATTGTTGTCGCGTTGCTATTTTGAGGAACTAAAATAGACTGTTCAATAGACCAGCTGAGGGGAGGTCTAAAGTCCAGCGCAGAGCACGTTAGTTGTGCCCCTCACTTAAACATTGCTTAAAAAACACAGGATGTAGAGCAACATGCAATTTTCTTTGCAAATGAAAAAAAATTTAAGGATTAAAATGTTCACGTTTCAGACTTTGTGCCTATACCGTTAAAACAGAGCACATAGTAAAAACGAATATGGAAGTCAATGGTTGCAGGTTTTCAGCTCTCTTTTCAATATATTCTTTAGTGTTTAACAGATGAAAGAAACTAAAACAGGTTTGGAACAAGTAAATGGTGAGTAAATAATGACTGAATTGTCATTTTTGGTTGGACTATCCCTTTAATTAAAACAGTATATGTTTTCCTGAGGCAAATTGTGCGTTATACAGCTTTGGTCCTATTATTGTTATTATTATTATTATTATTATTATTATTACAATTTAGTGAGTATTATTATTATTATTATTATTATTATTATTATTATTATAACAGTTTAGTGAGTTTTATTCAACACAAAACCCAACTGCTAAAAATGTATTCCAGAGATTCTATGAAAATAATTTGATTATTTCCCAACATTTTTATTCACAGGCAAAAGTATTTGTAGCTGACCCTAATCAGTCAGCTTGTATTTTGTTTTAGTTTATTATTTTTCATATTTCATTATTTGAATGTTTATTGCTTTATGTTTGTTTTAAACATTTTCTTGTTTCCGGTTGGAATGAGTCGGAGGTCATGTGATCCTCCATGATTGACTTAGCCTGCGAGAGTTGGGATCGACAACATGGTGTGATCCCAACACAGACACATGTTAAATGCTCTTCATTATTCTACTGCTTGTTATCAGGCCAACATGGTAAAGGAAACATTGTTCATATATTATTTTGTTTATTTTGATGTCGTTTTGATTATGTTGTGTTTGCGTGAAACATTTGGTTTGTTTATTTTTTTGATCTTTTTAGTTTTCACACTGTTCAATAACCGTTGCGTAGCTACAGTATTACTTTTATATACTTCATATAAAAAATAATTATTTATTCTTTCCATTGTTGCCTTTATAAAATAGTTTTTTCATTCTTTGTTACATGTTTCTCTGTATAAATTCAAGTAGAAAATCATAGCCAAAAAAGGTCATTTTTGCACAGTATGAAAGAGGTATTAAAACAAACAAAACTGCCTAGTTCGGAAGTAAGAGCTTTCCATAGAGACAGGCAGTGGGATCAGTTATTCCGGACCACCTGTGAACAGGTGTAGTATAATTGGCGAGGAAGTTCTCCGCGTCCCACAGAGAGCTAATCATCTCCGTTCCAGACCATCATCTGCTCAAAAGTCTGAAACCCAGCATTCCTCTGCGCTCCACACCACCCCGGCCAACAGAACAGTCCCTTATTCAGCATGAGGATGCACTCAAATTATCCCTTACTTTCCACCATAAGTAAAAAGGCCCTTAAACCTGACTGCTCAACTCCTCCTTCTGGGAGAATATTTCACGCTTGAATTGTTCAGACGTTCTCATCAAGAGGAACCTGTAAATTATACCTGGATGAGTTACTGCAAGCCCACGCTGGAATAATACTCCACTGATTTACATCAAATTAGAAGGTTGTTCATTCACAGAGTTCTACATGTCCTGCATCGTTTGCATGTTTATAAACTTTTTCTGCACATTTGATGAATGTTTTCGGTTCAGAAAAAAGCTTTTTCATTGTTGATATGCCGAGCTAGTGTTGTTCCCATACTGATAAACTTCCGGTGACCTGTTATTGTGAGGTTTTTTTTTTTTTTTTTTATTTTATACGGTTCCTTTTACAGCATTGATGTTGTAATGTAATTAAAATTCAATCAGTTAAACAGACTTTGGCATTCATTTAGTTGCTCAAGCGTAAAACGAGACAAAAAGCCGTTTACTTGCACATGCTCGTCAGAATCGGCAGGCTAGCGCAGAAGCTGTATTGAATATACTGGGCTAAAATAAATGCTTATATTATAAAGACATGGTAGCAGAAAATGTAATTTAATGCAGTGCTTCTTGTACAATCTGAGACCCACTTTATATCGGATATCACTCAGCCAGTGGAGATCGCATATTTTTAAAGAAAACAGACCTTAGAAGGTGCACTTCTCGGTTGATGTCAGTTTGACGGTTTCCAACACAATATTCTTAGCCAAGCCCTTTTTTACTGTTAGTTTGTTATAGCGAATGACATGCAAAAATAAAGCCCCGCCCCTACTCAATATTCTGTTGCAGTTGGAAATATATCAACCTACTAAAATAATAGTCTTAGCAACTTTCAGGACTTTTATAGATGTGTGTGTGTGTGTGTTTTTATGTAATGTCAACTCAAAATACTTTTACCTAATACTGACCTTATTCTGCAAGAGCGCAAGTAAGCTCTTTTCTGCTATTTGATTTGTTTGCCTATGGGAGAAATGACTAGGAATTACAAAACGATAATACACGGTCAAACTACTGGCTACAAACAAGTGTGTTAATGGAGGATACATAAAAATAAAACCCGTTTGCATCATCAAGCAGCATAACAAGCAGCTTCCTATGGCTGAAAATCAATGTAATGTGCCCACTCGTACGTGAAAGAAATAGCTCAATAATGCAGAGTACAATTAAAGTAAATGCCATTCCCCGGAGGCTTTAAAATATCAAAATTTGAAGCTTGTATTTTTGGGCCCTTCTCCCTCGATCACTCAGCTTAGATGGCTGGCCAGCTCTAGTAAGAGTCCTGGTGGTTCCAATCATCTTCCACTTACGGATGATAGAGGCAACTGTGCTCATTGGAACTTTCAGATCAGCAGAAATTTTTCTGTAACCTTCCCCAGCTTTGTGCCTCGAGATAGTCCTGTCTCTGAGATCTACAGACAATTCCTTTGTCTTCATGCTTGGTTTGTGCTTTGACATGCACTGTCAACCCTGGGCCCTTATATAGACAGGTGGATGCCTTTCAAATCATGTCCAATCAACTGAATTTACCACATGTGAACTCCAATTAAGCTGCTGAAATATCTCAAGAATGATCAGTGGAAACAGAATGTACCCGAGCTCAATTTAGAGCTTTACGGCAAAGGCTTTAAATATTTATGTATATGTAATTTTCAGTTTTTTTTAATAAATTTGCAGCAATTAAATCACATTGTAATTATGGCTTATTGTGTGTAGAATTTTGAGGAAATAAATTAATTTAATCCATTTTGAAACATGGCTATAACGTTTAAAAAAAATGTGGAAAAAGTGAAGCACTATGAACACTTTCCAGATGCACTTTATAAATATATATACACTCACAAGTAGCAATATCTAATTTTAGCAACAAATTTCACCACAGGCACATATTTTCATCTGGCTCAACTGTAGATGTCTTAATTTTCCTGTGGGATTAGTCTGAAACATTTTCAGTGGCAGTCAGTTGCTAACTATCTTACGACATGTCCAGATGCAAAGCCACCTTCTGCGCTACCTCCGTCATCCCGGCGGGCTTCACCAGACCTCCTGCCAGCCTTTGTAATGAGTGTGTGGATCTGAATCCATTTATAGACTCATTCCTCCCACCTCAGACGCATCACATTCCTCACCTGCTTGAAAAAAAAAAACCTTACAGAGCGGTACACCTGCGACGACTGACAGCAACATGACCAAACTCCAGGTTCATTACATTACAGGTCATCACTGTCAGAAGAAACATTAAGATGATGTATGTCTGGACTAGCTGCGGATTCAAAGGGGAGGCATGGAGAGCTTTTTGGGAGTACTATCGGTGAGTGCCGTGGTCATGCGTGATTGCGTTCCATCAGCGCCAGCAGAACACTGAATGGCCATTAGCAGGCTGACTGAAACTGATTGTCTTGGGAGATCTTGTATCTGCAGTCGGCCATTAACCGTGACCCTGTGACCCCCGTCTAAACCCCTGCAGTGCTCTGTCCTCATCACCCTCTCTGTTTCCAGTATCACAAAACGTGTCTTCGTTCTGTGTTTTCAGGGGTGTGTAATATACAAATAGACGGATTTGACAGATTGCGAGTGGTTTGGAGTGTTTGGCATCTTCTGAGGAAATGTAGTAGACTATAAGTATACAGTGAACATGAACGTATACTAAGTACACTACGTTTTCTCAAGAGGTGGAATCTCACCGCGTGTTTTGGGGATTTCATTACTCTGAACTCTTTGCAGATCTCTCTACACGTGATGTATACTGTATGTACATTATCTGTCTGTCTGTCTATACCCTGTACTGTATGTTATGCCTGCCTAATATTTGTCTCTAAAATTCCAGGAGACTGAGGGGGGATGGAGGGGGAATTTGTCTGAGTAACACAGTTGATAACCCGGGGTGAGGTGCGTTGATTGTAGTTTTAGTAAGTGAGCTATAAACCAAGATTTTGAGTGGCTGCGGTGTTTGGATACTATACCAAAGTTGGTGACCCAGGGGTGTCAGACTACACTAAAATGCTGAGGACCGTGGGCGAGGGGAAGATCGGGTGAAATTACGGGAGTTATGGGGAAAATACCAAAATGGGAGGGTGGCGGGAGATGGGTCTGAAATACGCATCTGTCTGTCTGTCTGTCTGTCTGTCTGTCTGTCTGTCTCCCTACATGTGTCTGTCTGTTTGTCTATCTGTCTATATATATATATCTATTCATCTATCTGTGTTTGTCTATGTCTATTTCTGTTTGAGTCTGTCTGTCAGTTTTTGTTTGTCTATTTACAGTATCTGTCTGTCATCTATCTATCTATCTATCTATCTATCTATCTATCTATCTATCTATCTAATTGTCAATGTGCATATAAAATAGATTTACTGTGTAATTTTCTAGACGTATTTTACAATCAAATGATTCCAGTGTTTATCTGGTTGTCGGAAAACTTTTTATTTATTTCCAGGTTTACATTTGATTTACAAATCCCTCGAACTGTAAGCATTTTGAAGGTCAGATTAGTTACACTCTCTCTCTGAGGGAGCAATTCATCACTAGACATTCATCTACTCAACGCTTGCATGAAATCTTTTTGCAATCTGAGGGTGGAATAGAGCCAAGGCCACACAAACTTTTTCTCACTTTATTCTTTTGAGAATGTGTTTGCTTGGTGCAAAAGACACCGTATTACTTTGTCATTGTTTCAGGGTAAAATACGTGTTTACAGAAATGGAACCCTTTTTGTGATTAATACTTCTACCTCTGCATTCAGTATTCATAAAACTCTTCAAAGTTTTGCCTGAATTATTGGTCAAGGTGGTTTTGTGAGGATGTAGTAAATCTTCATACATATCGACAAAACACATTTTCTTTGGAAAATGTGGTTTATTCCTCAGAGACCTTCACAGACTGTTGTGATTAATTACAATGAACTTTTATCTATAATGAAAAGTGCAGCGTAAGAACTGGGCCCTCGCTTTAGTCCACAATGCGCTCCTTTTCTGAGGATCTGCTGCATGTTGAGTTTGTTTTCTCTTAGCTTAAATCAGCCCGTTTTACTTCCATCTGTGGCGACCTGATGGTCAAAGCCTGCAAGCTGTTTTTTTGTGAGCGTGTGGTCCGCATGTGTGGGAACGTGGAGGTATATACACAGTCTCTCAGCAAGAGTTTGGCACCTTCAAATAGGCGTCTCCATCACCCTCACATAATCACTGCCTACGCTCCCGCTGAGAGGTCCTGCCTCAGTTAATGAATTTTGCACACGGAGAGATTTCAATTTGCAAACAAGCCTGTCCACATTAGAGGAGACAGGGCATCAGCTGTTGTTCTTCCTGAGATGATGATTTTCACAGTTTGGCTGATATTTTATTATTCCGTCTCACTGTACAGTTGCAAATCAAGCAGAGAAATTGAGAAATCAGCTGAGTTTGGTTGCGAGTGTTCAATCGGGAACATATTCATGACAAAGAAATGGAAACTTTTTCTTGTCCTTTTAAAAAAGTTTGTGCACAGACTACAAATGCTATCAATACAAGCCCCTTAAAACACTGTTTTAAGCATGCTAAACCATAGTGTGCACATATAGTTCTGTCATCTAATCCACCTTCCTTTGTACTTAAATATCTATAAATTAAACACATAATGTCACAGAGTACAGGCACAGGACCTTACTCTTACCACCTTTCTTTCCCTTTGTTTTGAGTGAACATTTACAGGACCGGAGCAAGCTGAACTGCCGCTCTAGGCAAAGGACGATCACACCACCCTCAACCCCAATGTGAAAACGAATGTGACCGGTTATGAAAATGAAGTGAGGTGTCGCGGACCTCTATTCTGCCGCCCTATGCGCGGATATTGCTGAGGGAGGGAGGTGTCGCCGACGCTGCCCTCTCTATTCTGCCACCCTATGCGCGAAATAACTGAGGACGCGCGGGTGTCGCGGACCTCTAATCTGCCGCCCTACGCGCTGATTTAACTGAGGACACGTGGGTGCTGATGGAGGTGTCGCTGATGCTGCCCTCTCTTCTGTCGCCTATGCGCGAATATATCTGAGGACGCGGATGGTGAGGGAGGTGTCGTTGACATAATTGAGGACGCGGGTGGTAAGGGGGGTGTTGCGGACGCCGCCCTCTCTATACTGCTGCCCTAGGCGGCCACCTAGGTTGCCTCTGTGGACGCGCCGGACCTGAACCTTTTGTACATCAAATCAGTGTCTAATTGCCAGTAAAACTCTTGCATAGACATGTGCTGCATCCCAATTCACATACTTATAGTAAGCCCTAAAAGTATGCACTTTTTTGTAAAGGAAAAGTATATACTTTCGAGTGTGTAACAGAAGAGTTTACAAGCTTTGGTACATACTACTTCCTTGTTAACAGATGTCTATGTTGCTTGGTTACGTCCCCTGTCAATCATTTTGATACATCATCCACATTTCTTTCATATTTAATTACTTACCTTATTGGAGAAGCAGCAGCAGAATAATCTGTCATTCGCATGCAGATGTCTTTTATGCAGACAAAATCTTTTCAAGTCTTTAGATAATAATGCATTCAGAAGCTAATGTCCAAACATATCTTGATATAAGTTCACATTGTTGTTGCAGATGAAATATAACATGGAAAACGCAGTTTAAATAAGTTCCAGGTGGCTATATATTGATTAACAGTCATTCAAACAACTTTACCGAAGCCTCTCTACTTAACAGTTGGTCTGGAGGGTCCGTCATGTAGTTTGTTTACACTTTTCACCCACATTTCAACCACGGTTAGAGTATGGCTGCTTCTAAACTTCGAATTTTTCCCGGAAATTGTAAACATCCATGAACCTTTGGCATACTCTTTTCGACATACTATGGTTTGGGACATACTAATTCTTTTTAAAATACTATTTAGGATGGATAGTATGTGAATTTGGATGCAGTCATGGTTTCATCAGTTTGTTTTCTGTTGAACTACTGTATGTTAACTACTTAACTACTTAATGTTGCATTAAAAATAATGTTCTGAAAAGACCACTCTTAATTACTGTCATATAAAGTAAAAAGTTACTCAAAGCTTTTACTGGAGCACTGCAGATTTTACTGTGACACGTGCTCCAGTAAATGAATGGTACAAAAGTAGATGAATACTGTACAAAAGTTGAAACCTTGCACTTTGAAACTTTTTATTTAGTATTTTCTCACAACTAAAGCAGCATAATCCTGTAAATGAATCACCAAATGCATAAACTTACTCTTACTTACTTACCATTTATATCGAAGTTGATATTTAGCCACAACATATTGTTGTTTCGTCACATCAAACTTTTTATGAGGTGGGTTGTTAGCCCAACACTCAACTCCCAACCTGAAGGACCAGGGCATAACACACATAAAGAGAACACAGAAAGAACATGCAAACTCCACACAGAAATGCCAACTGACCCAGCCAAAACTCAAACCGGCGACCTTCTTGCTTTGAGGTGATAGTGCTACCCACTGTGTTGTGTAAATGCTTTGATAATGTGCATCTCTTTTCTGTTTAAACCATACATGCAGTATTCTTGCATAAACATTGTTAGCGGTACAGCCAGAAACATCTTGTCATAAACAGGCTACCTTAATGTTTAGTAATGTGATGTGAAAATTAAGTTATTGACATGCTAATTGTGTTAGCATTATGCTAAAATGTTAAATGTTAGCAACCAACCTAGAACACATTAGCAACCATCTGCCTGTCTGTATACTGTTTTAAGTTTACAGGTTTTCTGGCTATTCGCTTTTACAAGCCAGTGTCTAAGTTTATGTGACAAGCTTTTTAATAAACAATGTTTTTAATGATAGCCTACACAAAAAATTATACTGTGAACCATTTTTTTAAAATCGGTATCATTTGTTACAGCTAAATGTTTAGTTTGTCAAGTATAATTTAGCTTTCGTTTAAAGTTTCATCTAAATCCAAAATATTTATCATCACAAAATTTATTATCTATCTATCTATCTATCTATCTATCTATCTATCTATCTATCTATCTATCTATCTATCTATCTATCTATCTATCTATCTATCTATCTATCTATCTGTCTGTCTGTCTGTCTGTCTGTCTGTCTGTCTGTCTGTCTGTCTGTCTGTCTGTCTATATATATATGCTCTATTGGATTGAGATCTGGTGAATGTGGAGGCCATTTGAGTAGTGAACTCACTGTGAATAATTCTCACATTTAACTATCTGCTCACTAACATGCATGTTAATGAATTGGTTGTTTTCTAGTACATACTCTGCATTATTATATCCCATTAAGCATTTTAGTGTTTAAAAGAAGTCTAGTAGATGTCTAAACATAGGCATATTGGTTAAAGGTGAAAATCTAAAAATAAAAGTCTACCTAATTGATGATTAGCCTAGTTTTAGACCATTGTTAGACATATTTGATTTTTACTGAGACATCCATTAGACATATCTTAAAATTAAAAGTTTATTGGTGTAAAAAGGAAGTAGAATGATATAAGGGCCAATAAATGATGACAATGTCCATTTTTGCATTGGATTAGAAGCATAATCTCAGCTCTCTCAATCTGTCTTTGTGTCTCAGTTTTGCAGATGTTTCCATGCGCTCATCATGTGCACCACCCCAGAGAGAGGCTCCAGCTTTAAAAACTCTTCCAAAGTCACCAAAACTCTCAGGACAGTGCGACGTGCCAACGGCCAGAATGTGACCTTCGCTGTGGCATCGGCCGTCCATCGAACTCCGTACAGCGACAGACAGAAAAGTTCCTCGGAGGGTGAGAAACTCCCTCCAGCTACGGGTCAGGGCACCAGCAAACCTGTTGTCTCTCTTGTGGCCTATTACAATGGCTGAGGTTGTACAGTCAGGCAAACCTACGGGGGTATTAGAGTTGACCGAAATCATGGATCGTGTTAAAAGGTAATATAAATGGAAAGTGGGCGTGTCTTGCAGAGCAGTATGGATTATTGCCATGCCCCCTCTGGCCACACCCATCGCTGGCAGTCATGCCATGTTGCATGCACAGCTTATGAAAAGAATGGACACTGAACTACTGGAGAAAGGGATGGCACTACTTTAGTACATGGATCTAATTGTTTGCTGATGTTTCTTATGAGTCCGGATTGTAAATGTGCTCTCAGATTGTGGCGTGTTGACTCTCTCTTTGAAACTGAGCATGAGCCTGTTTTGTATTTTTTTTCATCAAGCACAACATCTTACTGGTGTTTGACAGCCTCTGTAAAAGAGATTACTTACATTAATACTTTTCTTACTGAAATTTTGCTCCATTGCTGAAGTTTAAAGGAGTCATATTGTTTTATTCAACCTTTTGAAATATGGTAATAGTGGTTTAACAATTTCAGTTCAGAAGTATCACTATTTTTTTGAGGTTCACAAAGTTTTTTGTCTTCCTCAATTGCAAGAAAATAGTGCTAATGCATAGCTTCTATTACACAATTGTGACTTATTCTTTTAAATATACTGACTTTATTTTAGCTGTTTCTCACAATTGCAAAATTTTTCGCAATTTTGAATTCATACGCTCATAATTTGGCGATTAAAAGTCTGAATTGTGAGGTATAAGTTTGAAAATGTGATTTGTTGTGGGCTGAAACAAGTTTTGTTAAAAGGACACCTAACATTTTTGGAAATAAGCTCTCATTCTTCCTTGAGTTAAAAGAGTTGAGTATCATTTTTGAATCCACTCAGCTGATCTCCGATTCAGGCGGGAACACTTTTAGCTTAGCATAGATTAGCATAAATCATTGAATCACATTAGACCATTAGCATCTCCCTCAAAAATGAAAGAGTTTCAATAATTTTCCTATTTAATGATAGACTCTTCAGTAGTTACATTGTATTCTAAGACCAACAAAAGACATATAGCTAGGAATTTTATGCTCATTCCGGCATAAAAGTCAAGGAACGTTGCTGCCGTACCATGACTACAGCATGAGCAATGATAATACACCTAAAAATCATCTAACATCTCTCAATATAACCAACCAGTGATTATTTTTGATATGCCAGGTTATTTTTGACTGTGATGCTAATGGTCTTATTCAATTCAATGGTATATGCTAAGCTAAGCTAAATGTGCTCCCACCATAAACAAAGATTAACTGAAGGGATTCGAACTTGATAAAACTGAACTGTTTTACTCTAGTGGAGTTATAAATAAACAGGCTCATTCTGAAAACGTAGCCCTATATACATTTCTGAAGATTGCTAATTATGTTGCCAAAAGTAGGTATGGCTGCATTTTGTCTTTAAAAGAAGTCTACGGGGCGGTATGACGCTGTTCTTTTTCTTACTAGCTGACCGATTACCTCCATATGCAATTGGTGCTTTTGAAAACTCTATTGGTTGGGTTTAAAGGAGGAGGAAAGTGGGTCAGGCGATCGGTCACTCAGTCAGTCAGTCAGTCAGTCAGTCAGGTGACAGCAGCCTCTAGTGGATTTACGTACAAACGGCAGACACGAATGGCACTTGCGAGAGAAATTTAAGATCTAAAAAAGCATACACATCGGCCTCTGGTGGATTTGTGAAAACAAGAACAGCAAAAAAACTTCTCCTGGGACGTATTTGGTGCTCTCCAGAAATATACATAGCGATACATTTTCAGAATGAGTCTGGGTTGTATAAAATGTCTACTTTCAAAAAATCCTTTGTTGAATCATTCTGATATTAAAAACTTAAATACATTTATAACATTAATGTCCACATTAACACTTCATCAAAATTTTACCAGGCTATTTTTGACTGTGATGCTAATGGTCTAATCTGATTCAATAATCTATGCTAAGCTAAGCCAAATGTGCTCCCACCAGAAACAGAGATTAACTGAAGGGATTCGAAAATGATAAAACTGAACTGTTTAACACTAGTGGAGTTATAAAAACAACATAGGCTCATTCTGAAAATGTAGCACTATATAAATTTCCAGAGATCCTTAATAGCCAGAGGTACATATGGCTGCATTTTGTCTTTAAAACAAATGCTACGGGATGGTACGATGTCGTTCCTTTTCCTACTTCCCAGCTGACCGCTTACCTATGGCCGACTTTCCCGCTGTTTGTCCAGTTAGCTCGCCATGTTCATTGGTGGACTTGAGTTGCAGAGAGGAGTTGACCACAATGATGGGGTTCGAGTCTGGCGAAGAATGGCCCTGAAAGCGGGTAAGGCAAAAACAGAAGCCAAAAAAATTAAATAAACAAGTAAATAACAGGGTGAGAATGTGATAAAATCTGAAAACGTGTTAAAAATCAGACGAAGGCTTTAATTTTTTTGGATTGCTTTTGAAAACTGTCGGTTATGTTTACGGAAATGGTTGGACGAGTCAATCGGTGCTTTTGAAAACACTATTGGTTGGGTTTAGGGAAGGAGGAAGTTGAGTCCGTCAACCGTTCACTCAGTAACTCAGTTGACAGCGGCCTCAGGTGGATTTACGCAAAAACAGCAGGCACAAATGACACTCGCGAGAGAAATTTAAGATCTGAAAAGTAAACGCATCGGCCACTGGTGGATTTGTGAAAACAAAAACAGCAAAAAACGTATTTTGCACTCTCCAGAAATGTATAGCTGTTTTCAGAATGAGCCTGGGTTGTATAAAATGAGCCTATTTTAAAAAAAAAATTTAAAAAAAGTGGCATGTTCCTTTAAAAAACTTTTGTTGAATCATTCTGATATTAAAAACGGAAATACATTTATAACATTGATGTCCACATTTACACTTCATTGAAATGTTCTTTTTGAGGTGTTAGAAATCCTGATCAACATAATGAACCTCAGGAAAAAGTGTCAAAAGTGTATGATAGGACTCCTTTAAAACAGTTTAAAGTGAACAGTTCAAATGCAATAGTCTCCATGAATTATCCATAAATTTATTTGTAAACACTGAAGTTATCTTTTTTAGCTCTCTGTCTATTTTGGCAGATGTTGTGTAACATGCAAATCTGCTCTGCGATTGAAAACAGTTGGAGAACGACTCTCCACAGCCATCTCAGAATATTTCCAGGTTTAAATGAGCAAATCATTCATTTCAAATACGCAATTTCCTTGGCATGTTATGTGAAATTGGCTGCAGGTATCCATGCCGTGAAATCTCTTCATCGTACTGTTTACCAATACACAGAATAATTATATGCCAAAAAGCTTTCATACACCACAACGTATCATAAAGCAATGATGCCTTGAAGCCAAAACCTGCATCAGAAAGTGTTGATAATGGGATTCAGTTCAACTTGTTTATAGTTTTGAATCATTCATGGTGTTCGTATGTTTGTGCTTTTTGATTTTATTTTGATTCTGGTAGGATTTGTAATCAATATTTAAATGTGTTTGGCATCAAAGGGACAGGCTTCTCGGCGTTGAGCAGACTGTTGACTCCTCAAGACTTGAATAATGTGAGATGAAGCATCCCAAGAGGTTCTCTGACTGTTCAGTTAATCTGTGTTTCCTAATGAAGCAACATTCACAATCAAACTATAGGAAACGGGCAATTGAATTCTGTTAATGCTCTAATGAATCACATCTAGCTGAGATTTGAAAGAAGTAGATATTTTTATGACTTATTGAAACCATTTTCTTACTGCAAATCAGATTTGTGATGATTTCATTTCCCATGTTTTGTACAGTATGGTCAGTACACTGCTGTTGATTTGCTGATTTGTTATGTAAAAATATATAGTAATAAAAAATACTATAGTAATTTGTAGTCAGTTTTTGTACCATACTAAAGAATTTGAATTAAGCTCTTTTAACAAACCAACTAAAGAAATAAAAAATGCATATATTAACATATATTAATATTGTAGCGGCTTTCCAATGCCGCTATTGTTGGTAGAGTGAGCAAGTTTTTAATGCGTAAAAGTCAGAGTCCGTAGGCAAATAGATGCAAAAAAAAACATCTTTATTTTCCAATCAACATAATTACTCACTTTCCTTTATCTATAAGCACACTTCTCTGTTACCTTGAGTTGAGTTGAGACGAGACGTTCAGTTACGAGTCAAGACGATACGTTCAAGACAATACGAGACGTTTTTATTTGCATCTATTTGCCTACGGACTCTGACTTTTACGCGTTAAAAACTTGCTCACTCTACCAACAATAGCGGCATTGGAAAGCCACATAAAAGTCAAAAACTGTGTGCTTCCTACCAACACTGTCTTACTCCATGCAGTGAAGCCACAGTTATATAGTCTCCTACTGACACCTTGTGGCCAATAGCCAAGGTCATTGGCCTATGAACATTTCCTGCTTGTTGTAAAACTATTGCACAACTGTAACAAGAGGTGATTCCATCATAACTTGATGATATAACAACTAGCGTAATGTTATTTATCAATATGTGGAACATCTTGGACTCTCAGAAGGTAAGGAAATTTAAAATGTGAAACATGAAATACGTTGGAACCATTGTTATTGTTTACACAAAATGGTCTATATACAGTATAATATATTGTACTTCAGTCTCAAACTGGATTCCTGGAGGGCCGCAGCTCTGCACAGTTTTGCTCCAACCCTAATCAAACACAGCTGATCCAACTATTTAAGGTGTCCAAGACTATAGAGACTATTAAACAGGTGTGAGTTGGAGCTGGTTGGAGCTTAACTGCAGAGCTGTGGCCCTCTGGGAATTGAGTTTGAGACCATTGTACTACAGTATGATTAAAAACACTATATTATTTACTATAAATTACTATAGTTTTTTTTCATGATGGCTGCCTTTCAGAAGTTTGGTGCCTGTGGTTTTATTTGTTTTGACTATTTTAATATATTTACAGAACGATTCATTGAAAGGTAGGATGAACATATGTTTCTTGAGCATCTAATTTGCATATTAAAATGTTTCTGAATGACCGTGTGACCATGCGATGACTAAAATAATGTTGATGAAAATACAGCCTTCTATGAGAAGACTAAGGGTGTTCTCACACTAGGCTATCCGAACCATGCCCGGGAACGTTTGACTCCTATTTCCCGCTGCGTTTGACAAATGTGAATGCTCTGAATCGGGCCCAAGCATGGTTGAAAGAGCTTGTAGTGTGAGTGTAAATCGCATCGCAGCACAATCTCACCAATTCGTAACTTTTTGGCTTTTTTTTTGGCTAGTTTGTAAATTCGTAAGATCTCATTCGTACAATTTAGTACGATTTGCTCATACCCCAATGACGGTTGGTTGCCAGACCTCCCTTTTCAATTCTGACATTTTCGTACAACTGAACTTGTACAAATAGCTACTAAACTGACAAAACGTGAACTAGTTACTAGAGACTGTTTTATATGAATTTATTAACCATACTTACTTTTTAATAAACAGAAATTGTCATAGTTTATCAAAGATTCAAACCCCTTAGCAAACCTCTTATACGTGCAGCAAAATGACTTTCATTAACATTTATGAGCATCAAACGTGATGGACCTGTTTAGCAGAAGGTTTTACTGTGCGTCACTGCATATCAAACGACTTTAAATAATACAAAAAACTATTACTAAACAATCTCTATTGTGCTGAGCGAGAACGCTTCTCTTCTGTTAAACTGAACAGACGCATTAGTGTGCTCAGGCTCGGGAGGCAAAAATGCGATCACGCCTGGGCACGTTTCAAGAACCGTGCGTTGTGTGAGTATGTTTTAAAATACAAGTAGCTATTTTAAATAGTATTTGATTACAAATTGTTGCTGTTTTTACTGTGTTTTTTAAGCAAGTACAGTAAATGTAGCCTTGGTGAGCATAAAAGATGAAGTTTAAAGAAAATGGTATCGACCCCAAACTTAATGAATGGAACTATACATATTTTTGGAGCTAGGTTTATTAAATGTTTTATTTTTCATAAACCGATCACTATTCCAGTTTCCACCTTGTTTCATGTGTCAACGCAATTTCATGGCAATTTGTAACTTTTTGTTTTAGTGGATAAGTCATATTAATTTGTACAATCTCATTGGTGCAAATCGTTTATCCCCTAATGAGGCATAGAGAAATAGGGTTAGGTTTAGGAACATGCCTCCTTTTAAAATGGTATGTTTTCATATGAATTAAATCATAAAAAAATAGTAAAATATTAGCCACTTTTCTGACAATACATAAAAGAGTTTTGTTTCCTCGTGCGATAGAGCTGCAAATGTGGAAGATTACACAGAAAATTATGATTGATAACATATCTAATCCAAGTCTGTAACCATGTTTAGATTTTTTTGGGGGGGGGGGTGTGTGGGGGCTTGTTTCATGAAGGATTTTTCGAAAAGTGAAGGAAATTTCAATTTATTTAAATTGGGAAGCCATATGTTTGCAGATAAAAAAAAACTAAACCAGTATTATTTATGTTGAAAACACAAAATTTCCAATAGCAATATTTATAAAACATTTTAGATTAAAAAAAGTAAAATTTGTGGGGAAAGTTAAGTAGTTGACATATTGAATATTACTGCTTTAAACTTACCTTACTCTCTCTCGACAGAAGTTTCAATGTAAGATTTT